CCTGGAAGAGAGACCCTTTTAGATTTTTTTGGCACCTCCACGGCTTGCAGTCTATCCACTCCAATCGTTTCTACCTCGATTTCTTCATCCCTGATGCCAAATTCCTCACTACTTACTTTTCCGGGTGAACTAGAAGACATCATGCAGAGTAATGCACTGCCAATACTAGATGATTATGTTTGGGATGGTGAAGTCAATACTCTTCCAATCAACTCGTCCCTACGAAACTCATCTCAATTGGAAGGCCGGCTTCAGGAACTTATATCAAAACTTTCTGTCACTCATAACAGATTATCCGAGCTTTGTGATGGAGACTTACCGCCGTTTTCCGAAGAAACCAAAACTGTTTTGTTCACCGTTCCTAACTTGATAGATTTTACTCGATTGTTCTTTGATCATTGGTATCCAAATTGTCCAATCATACACCAACCTACTTATAACCTCGAGACCGTCTCGCTCCCGTTGTTATTGGCCATCTTCCTTATTGGCGCAGGTTATTCTTCACCTCGAGATACTGCTGGCTTAGCTAGCGAATGTGGTGCTTTGTGCGAGGAATTCGTTTTCGAGAATGAGGAACTGAAAGAGATACTTCGCTCGAACCAGTACAGCGAAAAATTAACCAGTCTCCAGGTTATCCAAGCAGCATTCCTTGCATCAGTATTGCGAAATTGGCAAAATGGGCAACTCGCAAGGAAGAACATGCGTAACAGGCGATATTGTGATGTTGTCAATAGTGCGAGGGCACTGGGATACAACTCATCAAGGAACATGTACGCTACGGGTGTTTTCCCTTTTAATTGGCAGGGCTATATTGAAGCGGAAGCAAGAGTTAGGTCAGCTCAGCTTGTTTCTATCATATTCTATCCGAAATGCTGAATATAAATTAGGGTTATGACTTTGATATATCTTGTAGATTGTCATTATACTCTTTTCAACAAGTATCCACCACGATTAACGGTCGCCGAGATGGTCGGTGATATGCCATCCTCAGAAGAAGCATATGCCGCTACAGATGCCCTTCTTTGCGAAGGCTATTTGTTAGGGACAAACGAAGAACCTCGAGCCTCTCTGGCAACCTCGGTGGAATGGCTAATGGGAGATGAATGGAATCCAGTTCATCATTACGGACTCACCACCCTCAGTTTATTCACGTCTCTCAACGGTAAACAAACTGTTCAAGACTGTCTACCTATATGAAACCTTTGCTAACTATATAAGCATTAAATACAACAATCTTCCAACTAAAAGCGACGTCTCTCTGGGTCTATAACTCCGCTCGTATCGTTCGAGCTCTCGATAGATGGAAGATACTTTGGGATAATTACTTAAAACAAGTCGGGCCAGATTTTGCAAGATCTGGGTTCTTCAAGAACTCTCTGGAATTCTGGCAGCTTACCAAGTTACTGCTTAAAATAGAAGGAAACACAGGCCAAACATGTCTTAGTGGCAAGGTCGAGATAATTAGCGATTCGATGACAGAAATCAATGCCTTAATGGACAAATTTCAAGGGGTCACCATCTCTTGATTTTGATTGTCATACGTTAAGAAGTCCTGGCAAACATACTATACAGCGCTAGGAGTGTCTTCACACTAAAGCGGAAACTATACGATTCACTGCGATAGCCTGCAGAGAACTCTACTTACAAGATTACCTCGACTGGAGAGAAACAAATGAAGAAGCGAAAAAGCTTAAACCATAGGTCCTAATGCGCCCTTCCCACTGATCTCGATTTTGTTCATCTCTCGAACCAGACTTTTGGTTCCTCTGGTTTCAGTGGCTTCAACCCAATTACCATGTACTTGAGCTTTAATATGAAATGGCAATTCAACAATAGCAATTGCCTTTTCAAAATCTCTCGTATCAATCACGATCAGATCGCATCGATTGGCAATTCTTCTTTCGACCATTGCCATCACCCATCCATCTCCTTCCTTGGAATCTTTCGATCGAGGAATAAAAATCGGTTCTTGAACATGCGAGTCTTCCCCTGCATAGAAATATTTCGTTTCGCTTGTCTTATTGTTATGCATCGCAAGACCATTTAGTCCCTGGTATATGTTACTCCTTCCATCACTTTGTTCTGGAATGAAAACATCCAAGAATACCCATTCGTATTCCTTCGTCATGAATCTCTCGTCAATTCTCGGAAATTCACATGGAATGTCCAAAACTACCAATGGATCCTGTATCTTACTGCCACTCGGTTGACTCAGATCAAATTCCCAACGGGCGAAATCACCTTTCGTATCCGGATTCGGCATTCGTCCATCATCTGGCGGAAAGAACGGAAATGCATTATCATGCACTCTTGAACTCTCCATGTATAATTTTCCATCCTTTCCTTCCCAGGCTCCTGCTGTGTGAACCGGCATGCAGTTTTTCCACTCATAATATCTGCTCTCTCCTTCCTTCCACCCGTCTGGCAATGGCGTCGACTTTCTCCTAGGAACCACAATGAACGTAGCAGGTCTTTCATAATCCCATGCCCAATGCTGGCCCCCTTTCTTCATTCTTTCAATATCCGCTTCGAAACACCAACATACAAGTATCAACCAATTTTCCGTTATGGCACAGTCATGAATAAACGCACACCACGGACTCTTCACCCATAACTCTTCTACCTTCTTCCCTTGCGCATCCAGCGTATATGTAACTACATCCAGCGTGGCCAATCCCTTTGCCTCATACCCAAACACAACGAGTTCATTCGTGTATGGATCCACCTTCGGATGGGCCGTGAAAGTCTTCGAATTCACTCCCTCAGAAGCAAAAGGATCATACCCCAAAGTCTCCAAAGTATCGCCATCAACTTCATAGGGCAACCCCACTTCCTTCAATGCCAACAACTTATCAGCCCACATGACTAAATTCGTATTCGCTGTACTATCTACCGCAGCTCTTACACACGGATGATGTGTATATGGATTCCGATATAATCCAAACAAAGCCTTATTAGCCTGTCTTTCGAGTTTGTACCTTTCGGTCTCGACATACCGCATTTTCATATCGACGATACCGTCGTGGAAACGAAAGGCGGAGATATTGCCGTCGCCGTCTACGGGTACATTTTGTGGGTGAGGCGGAACGAAAGGGTCGCACATGACACGGTAAAACGTTCCGTTTATCTCTGAGGGGATAGACCCGAGGACCACGAGGTTGGCGACTTCACCTTCGAGACGGCAGGGGAGATTGGAGCCTGCGAGGTCTATTGCGGTGGGCCATCTGGAGGTAAGATTCTGAGGATTTCGGCTGTCTTGAGTGGTGGGAGTGCGGGAGGTTGTAGGCGGGGTAAGTTTTGAAGAAGGAGAAACATCGGGAGCATCAAGGGAGAGAATTGTTGGGGAGGATGACGGCGGGTCATTTAGTATCGCCATTGTTTATGAGGTAGTATATATAGCAATGAGTGAGCTGACTGTTATGATAGGATCAATGTGACAGGTAGAGCGGTAGATTGAATTGTTTATATACTACAAACGTAACGTACCAAGAGCATCAATAGTGTACCAGGAGCATTAGTAGATATCATGACCCCAGACGGACTTTTCCCTCACTGCATATATCTTTTCCCTCACCCATATTATCCATGTAATCTTAAATCTCCAGACCAAGCGACTAACATACGCACCACTGACAGTGGTCCCACAGTCCAGCATCCCCATATATATTCAGGAGAAGATAAAGTCCGTAAATCCCGTGAAAGTTTCGCCCCCACAAAAGCCCCAGATGCGTTCTTGGTCTTCTCCCCCAAGCTAGCCCTAGGAGCTAAAAGTAGCTGCCGAAAGAACTCATATGTGGGTAAATGGCTTTTACGGATGATGAACATCATGCTGCTAGATCCCAAAGGGCTCGAGACTGCACCGGAAACATCCCTCCTTACCCCATATTTGTGGGGTGATCTTCCTTACCCACGCTTTCTGTCATGTGTCGTGCAACTGATGCATACATAGCGTGTTACTATTGACTACCTGACGAATTTATATTGAAGTATTTCAATTATCCGATGTCTAATTGGTCAATGCCATGGAAGAGGAGCAATATTTTGGCGAATCCTTGCATTGGATTTGCTAATAGTTGGTATCGTACCGTTCTGGTATAAAGTGTCAGCATTGATGTTCAGAGAAGAATGACTTGCAGCATGCAAGTGTATTTTCTTAGATTGACACGATACGTGGAGAGGTGATAGACGTTATGGAGGTTCTTGGAAATGTTTCCTCATGAAGTTGAGCCTTGTAAGTTGGGGACCGGGAATTTCCCACTTGTGCATAGGGTTTTGCCGTTCGGGCTTCGGTACCTGCAAATATTCTGCTCGAAGTGTTTCATCATGCCTTTGGCCCGGCCGGTAGTTCGACTTGCTTAGGATTCTTTCTTCGTGATTGGAGATTGATCGAATTTAATATGATGGCGTGGCGTCGACAGTACGGAAAAGCAAAAAAGTCATGACACCCAAAATATATTCTTCTCAATAATGGACATTATTAAGTCAAGCAATCGATAGTGCGCATCACAGATTGATGAGATATGTTTCTGGGCTTGAAGCCCATCATATACTCGACTTTTTCTTCATTTGAATATGAGTTTGTACCATTATAAAGTGTTGAAATCTAAGTATTTTCAATCACAGCCTCACTAAACCGCTGGACAGAATATACTTCGAACCACTTTACTCAAACCTATCCGAAGTACGAGTTTCCACACCACGCAACGGTTATTCTGTCAAGATTTGATCGAGGATGCTACGATACGTCTCCCACGCGGAAATCTTTGCCATGGACAAAGGTATAAGCTTTTTGTCTGCCCCGTACTCAAAGTCATTCTATACACGGAGTAATCATAGGTTACGAGCTTGCTCGGTATCTGTAGTCGACATGGGGAAGGAATGATACTCATCAAGAACTCAATCGAATTGGAGCATTAGAAGTGATGATATGGCATACATACCAAATCAATAAAGTGATTACGAATTCTTTATCTTCCTCCTAATCCATCTTAATACATCAAATGTTCCAAAAAACGTTACAGTCATGTGAGAAGCTGCAAGATGCTTTAATAGGTAACCCTATCCAACCGTTCTTCTTATATTCTCAATCTGCTCTTATATCTTCTTCGTTAGTTCTTATGACTGCCCAGTCCATATCATCCTAAAGAAAATTACAAACCTTCGTTCTTCCAAACTAACCGAAGATGTTTTCAATTTTCTTCGCCTCGATTCCGCAGCACTTCGAGCTTTATGCGAGAAGACGAAATGGAATCCGAACAAAGTCATCTTTACATGCGACTATTCCATCGGCGGAGTTGGGGACATACGTGACTCGATACTGAACTGTGTACGGTATGCAATATCCGCTGGGGCCGGTCTAGTAATCCCTCGAATTATTCTTCGAAACCCGAATGATATCTCGCAGATTCGAACTGGGTGAAAGAGTTAGCATGGCCTATATGTTTGACTATTTTCGTTTTGTCGATTCGCTCAGGTATTCTTGCCCGCAAATGAACATATATCCATACATCGATGACGTTCCAAATTCAAACGAGGGAAGAGGTCCCATCACACTATTGCCAGAAAGCTTATTCTCTTCTCCGATTCCGAAAACAGGCATAGAACATCCGGAAAATTGGAGGGAATGATTTGAGGGATGGTTGGATGGATATTGTTATTCTGCGACGAATGAGACAATGAATATGCCGGTAACGGTTGAGCTTGGGAGATCGTATTTGCAATATCCGATGTATTCTAACGGGGAGGAATTCGCACTTTCGTTTGGTGGGATATTGAACGGATATTGAAGTTCCGCGACAACCTGAGGATTCTTGTTACTACCGTTTTGCAGAATCTGTTATCTACATACAACATGTCTAGGGATCTCTCGCTGCCATTCCTCTCGGAAACGTTTTTTGGTGCACATCTTAGGACAGAGATAGATGCTACGAGATCTTTGTCAGCCGAGGATGGGTTTTATCAACGTTATGAGTTCCAATCGATACTATACTTGAAGAAATTGGCCTCTACAAACCTCACCCTAATTTATGTAGCATCAAGCAACGAAACCGAAGCCGCGCAGTTTACGCGAGACGCAGCTGCATACAGTGTTACTACGAAATTGATGCTACTCAATGCTGAAGATAGGGAACTATTGAGCAATTTATCATGGGGTCAACAAGCGGTAGTCGGTTTTCTCGTTTTGACAAAAAGCTCGAAGTTCGTCGGAATAGGCCATTCGAGTTTTACGTGGAACAATGCGTTACAGAGACATCGGTTCTTGGACAAGAAGAAAGACTATTTGAATAGACCGGAGTTGTTAAGTGATGAGTTGAATACGGTGTTTGAGGAGCCGGGTGTGCATCCGGAATACACAACCTATTTGTGGCCTTGATTACAAAAACATTAATTAGAAAGTATAAAAAGAAATATAATGTTACTTAGTGTAAGTTTGATATGAGTAAATATTCATTCATATTTGTTTTTCAAGTAGAAATAAAATATACATATAGCATTAGAAAATAAACAAGACGATAAGGGTACAGTTTAGAGATTTAAAGCGGGAAGGGTTTATCATAGTACCAAAGATAGATCGTTGGATTATAATGACGATGCAAATGCAAAATATAAAACTGCATATGTAGCAATATCGTAATATTATGAGCTAAGACACGCGAAGCTATCGAGATGCCTTTATAGATACAATGAGTGTAACGGTCGCTGATCACCTATTTTCTTCTTTCCTATCCATTTCTTCTGTTTGTGAAACTCCATTTCCCGTATTGATTCCCCACTGCCTTTTCGAAATTCAAAAATGAAAAAAAAGAATAACGAGCGTGAATTGCGCATAGTGCACTTACTAAGGAAATCTTATGTTAATTACTTGAGACATCCTGCAACGTGCGAGTCGTCTAATGGCGATTGGAAGAGTTGAGAACGGTGGTCTGGGGATGGGCGAGGCCTGCAACTCTTCGATCCTCATTGATTTGTCTCCAGATAGTACGGGACCAATCCGCCCAGTTTCCGAATTTCTCATGTCCGACACCATCGTTGATCTCAACCTTGTCATGGATAGTTGGCCACTGGTTTTGAAGTCCCTTAGTAATTTCATTCATGAAATGTTCTGGTGCTCTTCTTTGCCAGTCTCTCTGGGTTTCCTGTTCCTTGGTGGTGATTTGCCGGTTGACGCCGCAATAAGTGTTGACGGTGACCCAGTACGTTTTGCCGTCTTGCTCAACAGACTGCTTATCCCACCATTGGGCTGGATTTCCAAGGGGAAATATTTCTTGTGTCATAGTAGCCATCTTTTTCGATCCTTTTGGACTGAGTACTGACTGCGTTAGGATCACGTAATTGCTAGTAAGATGCATGCGAGGGATTGACGATGCTTACCTTTGATCGGAATGGAGACTATGTGTGATATATGCGGATATGTGTAAAAATGGCTTTATTTGTGTGGATATGGATGAAGATGAGCAGACAACGTGTGGAGATATGGCTCGATGAAGGTATCTGAAGGTAGATGGATGGAGAGGTACTTTGTGTTTAATTGTGTAAAGATTGGTGAAAGTAAGTTTCGTGATCGAGATGTTGTTGTTTGATGAAAAAAAAAAGAAAAGGTTGAAGCAAAGGAGAAACCTCGAACTATTTGAGCACAATTGGTGAGGCTCTCAAGGCATCAATCTTCATAATGAACCACCATTTGGTAGTCATTTTGATGCCGTATATATGAATAATACTGTGAATTGTTCGAATCGCATGATTTAGGAAGAAAATGGAGTCATTTGAGGGATCTTGTCCCTTAAACCTCACTTCTCATGATTCAGAATACTGATAATTATGTTTAGGACTCACAAAAATATCTATCACTGACCAATGAGGCTTCTCATACATCATAGTGGTGATTAAATCCAAGACGACAGTCATTCATAAGGTACAATGTGTCGAATAATATTGAATATTCATTGAATGGTATGATCTGAGCGGACAATGTCATTATTTGGTGATTGATATATTGGAATGGTGATTCGAAAGTTGATGAGGGGTAGGTATTGGAGTCATGTTATAGATTTCTTAGCTATCCATTCACAGATAGTAGTCATTCCGGAAGTTAGATTCATAAAATATAACTTCGTACTTAATGAATATTGCGAAATGGATAGGGAACAGAGTCACCGACGGGAATTCTGTTATCGGCATTTCGAGTAAATGTGTCGGAAACCAACAAGTGACCAAATGTTGATTCATGCCTCTTAAATCATTTGTTGCATAGGAACTTTTATAGACAATTCACGGAGGAAGTGAGAGTCATCGCTTAGTTTCTAACTATTCAGAACATCGAGGTTGGGCATTTTCATTGCTTGGTCGACAGCTTCACAGTGGAGGATACAACAAGTGGTTTCGCCGCAAATTTATTGGGCATCAGCGAATAGTCAGAATAATGATCTTTATTTGGTGATGGCTTTAGGGGTTTATCTTCTAAATCAATCGTAGAAAATTTGAATGTTCTCCAAACTACACGGAGGGACGAATGAGAGCGAAGACTCTACAACTTTACCTTTCCTAAATAGGAAATCATGGAAAGTCCCTTGAAAGTATACGAATACGATGACAATGAGATTTTACATCGCACAGAATATATATAGTCTTGAATGCAACTCATCGAACATAATACAAGTCTGCCGTATATAGCGCTGGAAAATTGAACATATGGATCTGCAATGCACCGTGTTCCGTCTTTTTCTGTGTCAGCTATCGCGAAAAAAAGGACAAGACAACACAGCCTTTCAACATCAAGAAGCTTGATATAGCACGGATTAAAAGAGCTTCCACGTATAACATGGCCGGATGAATTTTGATAGAATCACCGAGAAAGCAGAGATTGTTTCCTCTTCAACAGCCATGTCAAATACACGGAAGGTAAAGGGTTTGGATTCTCCAATCATGATTTGATGAACTGATCAATATGAAATTCAACAACGATCAGGCAAACTCGCCAGATGCTTCAACGGAAACGGACATTCCAGACTTTAAGCTATGGCAACTAGAGGAAATCCATACCCATTTGGCGATCATTGCGGCCGAGTCTAGAGTTATCTGTATTGTTCGTGAAAAGTAAGAGAATGTGTGATGGATGAAATCTAAACACTCGCGCCGCTTGAGAAAAGAAGGAATATGATTTTAACTGTGCCATTGCGAGGTGAATAGCAAAAGCACAGGAAAGGACATGGGGACTGTGTGGAGAGCTTCTTGAACGTAGAGAACCAGGGGAAACAAGTACAGACGACGACCGAAAGCCGAATGATCAAAGCAGAAAGACGAGGCAGATGGATTGATGAGTACCAGCACTACTGGTCATGATATCGTATGGTCTGAAGTAGAGACCATTAGCATAAGTTCTATGTCACTTCAGGAGATGGATTCAGAGTAGCAACTGTCCAAGAGGAGACGGCTGAAGTTATTCGAGATAATGCTGCTGATGGTGACGGTGATGTTTGTGCAGGATTGAGAAATCGAGTAAGTGGCTGATAATGTGAAGCTACCTACCCGTGGACCTACCCGTGGACCTACCTACTTCGTACTTATGTGGCTTAGGTAATCTTACATCCATGGATTGGCGTGTTGTGGCGGACCGGTGTTGAGGCTGCCCCGTACCCCGAGCATCGATATCAATGTCCGGTAGAAATGATTAAATTGAGTACCCTACTTTCGGGCCCCTCTCCTTTTGGACCACTTTTTATATCAAAAATGGAATTTTTAACTTTCTTATTTATAAATAGAATTTATTAAAAATTTATATATATATAATTCAGATCGTTTTGAATCTAATCTGAAATTTTTAAATTTTTAGGATTTTTCTGTATTGAAATCTAAAGCTTCAAAATATCAATTTTTAAATTTATATAGGAATCGTATATGAATTTAAATTTTTTATAAAATCTTTAATAAATTTTTAATAAAAATTGTTAAAAATAAACTAAAAAGTTTTATTATAAGTTTATAATATATTTACTTTAAAAAAAAATAGAAAACTTTTTATAAATCAATATTTAAAAGAATATTCTCAAAATTATAAGGATTATTTATATTACTTTAAACTTATTATATATTATATCTCTATATCTATTAATTTTTTTTAATTTTTTTTTTAATTTCTATATAAATTTAAATTCAAAACTTTTAAAAAGATATATAGTTTTCTTTTAATAATTATTATTAAAAAGTTATTAAAGATTTTATAAAAATTTTAAATTTATATATAATCCCCATATAAATTAAAAAATCAATATTTTGAAGCTCTAAATCTTAATATAGAAAAATTCTAAAAATCTAAAAATTTCAGAATAAGCTTAAAATAACTTAAATTATATATATTTAAATTTTTATTAAATTAGATTATATATTAATAGAGATATTAATAAATCAAAAAAGCGATTTTTGGTATAAAAGGATGGCCCAAAACAGGAGTGGCCTGAAAGTAGAGTGGTCGACTTAAGACTCACCTGGGCACATCTCTGATTGGATTTCTCATTTCTTCTTCTTCCAATTCTCGATTTTAACTTTCCACGCATGCAAATATCTGGGCGATGTTTACGAAGTGCTCCGCACATTGTTTTTTTTTTTTTTTATCATTCTCCCGTGTTTGTTTGGATTTGGCTGCATATTCCCAGTCCTCTACGTCGTACTTTCCTTTGGGGCTTTCAACATCGCTAGGTTATGCAAATCTTTGATGGAGCGCCTGTTTCGTAGTCAGTTTCGGCTCTTTCATCTATCGACATGGCCTGGTCTATCTGGTCTACTCTAGCTGTCCATCTCTGTCGAAATGCCTCTTCTAACTCTTCGACTCTTCGACTCTTCGTGTTTCAGTCTCTCTCTCTCTCTCTGTACATAACGGTGTTGTGATCCTTCTTATGTTTAACGTTCTCTACCAGATACAAGAATTCAACTCCATCTACCAATGATCTATTCATTGATATCTAATCGTCACCGTGTTTACCTTTAGCCGTGACATTTGCCTGCATCTCATTCAACACAGCCTTCTTTCGTTCTTGCTTGGCCTCTTGGACCCCTTGTCCTTGACACGACGATTGATCACACAGAACACCTACTTTGTTTTGTCGGCGATGATATAAAGTCGACTTCTTCGACCACTACCCTGAATACAATACAGTTCAAATTCAATATACCCCTTCGACGACGATCGCCACACACCGACAGGCATGCGCTCGAGTATATCTATCTAATTCCTCAACGAAAGAGGCCCTAGTCACTATCATGGGATTACTCCGCCAAGTCAGAACTTTGACTGGAAAGAATCTCCTCATTACAGTTAATCGACATGCCTTCAGCACATTCGTACGCGCACTTATCCTACCAGTGGCCTTGATCGTATTTCTTAGTTATGCCAGAAATTTATTCATACCACCTTCAACCTACGGCATTGGCTCCAGCCAGCCCATTCGATCATTGGGAGAAGGGCTCCGATCCGCGACAGGTGGACGAAATACTTTGGCATTTGTTAACAATGGTTTAATAGGAGGAGATGTTGATAAAGTTATTGCTGATTTAACCTCGCAGGCTGAAGTTGCTGGGGCAAAGGTGAAACGTTTGACGACTGAGGCTGAACTACTGGACATCTGCAAAAGTAGTCTGAGGGGAGCAACATCTTGTTATGGTGCCATCGTTTTCAATTCTTCGCCCTCGGAAGGAACAGGAGGAATATGGAACTATACCATGCGAGCAGATGGCGCGTTCGGCACGCAGATTGATGTTACAACAGACAAAAACGATGCCGAACTCTTCCTCTTGCCACTGCAGCGTGCTGTTGATTATGCAATTGCTTCAAGAAATACGACAATCGATCAGAATGCTTTGCCCGCTACCGTTAACGAATATCCGTATACTAGTCAGACTCAGAAGCAACGCGAAACTGCAATTCGGACAAATTATCAAACTGCTATCATCAATATTCTTGGAGTAGCTTTCTTGATTGGTATTGTTGGTGTTACGTATCATTTGACTGGATTCATTGCCTCTGAGCGAGAGCTTGGAATGTCACAACTTCTAGAAGCTATGATGCCGAATCTACGCAGATGGGAACCTCAAGTAGCTAGGATACTTTCATATCATCTAGCCTTTGATATCATTTACATACCAGGATGGATCATCATGGGTGTGGTTCTAGGAGTAGGAGTCTTTGCCCAAACCTCCATGGCTATTGTGATCATATTCCATGTTCTGGCCGGCTTATCCTTAACATCATTTTCCATCCTTGGTGCCGCTTTCTTCAAGAAAGCCCAGCTCA